TAAGAAAGTCTGTATGACCAGATGAAGTGTCCCCCAAAACACACCCAAAAATATATATATTTTTTTAGACTTTTTTTAAAAAAAACAAGAATTCTTGATGGTTCTTTGCAGAGTGGGTGTGATGTCAGCCACAGATACACGAGGAAGCACTGGCAGGATGGGATCTGGCAATCTGTGGCATGTCTGAACAACAAACACTGAACAAATAAAGAGCTCTAATGCAGGGAGTAATATTAAGTGACCCCTTCTCTAGTTTCTTGGATGTGCAGCACGTGATGGTAAAGTTTTGGTTTTCTTTATGCAAGTGAAGATACTCTTCAGAACACACTGCTGGGTGTGGCCAGGTAATTTTGCCACCAGGCAGACTTTTCATGCCCAGCCCTTTGTCAGTATGTCCCACACCGTGTTAGGTAAAATTAGGTCTTCCATGATAACATCAAAGACATGCCTGAAGGATAGTTAATTTTTTCAAAAGGTGGGGATCCTCTTGTAGAAAATGGTACTGGGAGATATTTTAGAAACATCAAACGCAGGCTTGCCTGGACTTTGCTTGTTTCTGGAGTCCATAAATAAGAATTAAAATTGACTCATGAGTTTCCAATCTAAATGTCAGCAAAAAAAAAATCGTTTTTAAGATGGTAGAAGGTGGATTAAGGGAAAGTTAATAGTTGGAGAAAAAGCTTTCTGTATGTACAGTGCAGAGTGTACTGAGCAGTGAGGGTGGAATTCTCATTTATTGCAAATCCATGTAAAGCAGGATTTATGACACATGAGCTGGAAATGGTCAAGTACATTGTACAAGTTACACTATTTATATATCTATAGAATATAGACTAGAGAATACTTCAAACTCCTCCAGTTTGAAATTGGTATTCTTGAGTTTTCATATTACTGTATGGTAAAGAGTGTGTTTTTCCACCATGTCAGCTAAACATGCTTCTTATTCTTTTAAACTAAGCTAAACAAAGCTTCTTATTCTTTTAAACCGATCACTTGCAAAAAATTCTACATTTTCACCCTCCTCAGACCAGACAGCTGTTATTTTCCCACATATTCATTCTGTGATAATGGGTAGGACTCCTAAAACCCAGCTTCAAAAGAAGATGAGCGTGGTCAATGCCAGCTGAATTTTCATGGAATTAAGAAGTGATCAGCAAGGCACAATAATGGTCATGAAAACTATATTTACTTTTATTTCCTACCTGTAGAACATGTGGGATAGGAGAGTTTTGTGTACAAGAAGTAGCCTAGTCCTTTTCAGTTACTCCTTACCTCTGAAAAGCAGAGGACATGGAAAAAAACTGTAACTGTAGTCATAGCTGCAAAGAAAATGATGAGGAAAGCAATCTCATTAATAGATTACTGTAGGAAAGGAAATGGCCAGGAGCTCCTCAAAAATACCTAATTACAGCAAACAGGGCTGGAAGGGACCTTAGCAGGTCATCTAGTCCAGCTCCATGCCCTTAAGGTAGGATTATGTCTGTGTCATTGCTGACAGGAGCTTGTCCAACCCGTTCCAGGAAAGCTGCAGCCTTCCCAGGCACTGCCAGTTTGAAGAAAGTGCATTTAATGCATCTTAAAATTCATCAGAAGAGCCATGGTCATAGTCATTCATTGAAATATTACAGGGATGTAGTCTGACCACGTTGAAAGTTTCACAGTGTGTTTCATCTGCCCAATGATAGCTTAAAGTCTCCATTGCTTTTATGGGGACAATGTGCCATTTACTAAAGCACTTAGGAGCTTTAGGTAATTTAGATTTTTATAGTCAGCAGCTTGTCTATTCCATAGAAATATTATGTGAAAGATACAATGGAATAGAGAATGTGCACAGTGTGGTTCCACAGAAGTGTATGTGCTCACCAGAGTCTTGAGTAAGGAAATCTGGACAAGCAGAGCTCTTTAAATGACTGTGCTTAAGACCTTCCAAAGCTCTGGAAGAGCAGAAGGAAGAGGTTGCACTGTGGTAACAGTGCTCCTGGAGAAGTGGCAGCCCGGGTTCCTGCCTCCTCCTCGCAGCCACTGAGTTAAAAACCCAGCCTTTAGGGCAGCAGTTTGGGTCCCCCCGGGGTCAGGTGAGAGGAGATAGTGTTCCCCGCAGCACGGCGCTGGCCCTTGGGGCAGTGCCTCCTCCCTTTGTGGCTCGGGTTGCCGGGGTTACACTCCTGACTGCTCAGTGCTCAGAGTACCTGTTCATACAGGAGGCCCATTGTTGGGCGGCCTCATTCCTTCCCAGGGGCGTGGAGCAGGCTAAAGCAGCTCTAGAGGGCTTCTAATTGCAGATGCCTAATTGACTTGGTGAATAGCAACTACTTAAAAAAATAAACCCTCTTTCTCCGCTGATCTGCATGATAGAACAGAACGTCTCACAGGTGCTGAGCACTTAGAGATAAAAGAAATCTCCTGTGTTGCCGAAGATGCTTTTTTAATTATTTTTTAAAGTAGTCTCTGTGTGTTTTTATCTGGATGTCTCACTGGCATCTTGTAGCAGTCTGTGGCATGGGTTCACTGAGGCCCTGGCTGGCCTGCCACTTTACAAGTGCCTGAAGAGTGAACCTTCTCCAGCAAGCAGCTCTCCTTTTTGACCTGTTTCCAGCCCAGTGTGGTGGGGGAGAGAAAAGAGAAGTCTATTAGCTGCTTTAGAGGTTCCAAAGAAGCTTTGAGAGGGTCTGGTAGCATAACTCCAACAGAGGATGTTGTCCTGGGTGCTTTAAAGCACTAAATCATCTCTTTTTAACATTTCCTTCATTGCTGTGTGTTGTAATGCATCTTTTGATTCAGCTCCACTTGTAGCTGACTACACCCAACTTGCAGCAACTACACCACCAAGTGTAGCTGGACACTACATTTCAAGGGTGGTATTATGTATTTATGTGTGCACAGAACATATTTTATGCCACTGATGTAGACATAGTCCATGAAAATATATGGACAGTGCTTGGTATTCATTTGTAAATTATTTTTTATTTTTACAAAGCTTTTTTTATGCCTGGTTAAGTGTGAATCTGTGTTTAAGAAGTCCCTGTTTCCCAGAGATCATAATAGCTATCATTTGCTTCCAAGATCTGTAGAACATACTCAAAAAGTCCAGGATAAACCATTTTCTGTCCAAATAAGTGACTTTTTTTTCTCCTCTTTTGCAGCTGTTATTGAGAAAAGGAGAGTTAGCTCATTGTTTATCTGTAGAACATACTCAAAAAGTCCAGGATAAACCATTTTCTGTCCAAATAAGTGACTTTTTTTTTTTTTTCTCCTCTTTTTCAGCTGTTATTGGGAAAAGGAGAGTTAGTTCATTGTTTGACTCAAGTTTTTGAATCAGAATTCTGTAACATGTGTTTTCTTCTTTCCACTTTTCAGGCTTACAGCTGAAAATATCTAAGTTGAAAAAAGAAAGATGCTTGTAAGTACTCACCCTAAAGATCTAATTTATTAAAGGAGAGCCTGAGTACCATTAACAACCCTTAATTCTTGTAAGATCCATTGAGGTTGCTTGGATTTTTCCTTCAGATTTGTACAAAAATCTACTCACTGTAGTAATTCAGCTGAAGTGAAAGTTTTTATAGAGACTTTTTTTGGTTTTGCTCCATATTTGCCCTTAGTATCAGGTTGTTGTCCCTTAACTCAGCTCTGAGTCAATCAGTAAAGATTCTGGTAATAACCTGCTAATTTTCACTCAATTCTTCTCTTTTAAGACATAGGTAACCTCTTTTGCAGGCATTATCTGCTACTAATTTTTAGTCTTGTTCATTAGAATTAATTTGGGCAAAAACTCTGAAATACAAGATTTATATGTATGGTAGAACCATGATATGTCTCTACAGCATTAAATCAGCTTTTATTTCACTTCTGCTGACTGAAGCCACATTTAATTAAATGGTTAAGAGGTATGCTAATGTAATCCTTTGTTTAAATTTTACTTCAGGTTTAATTATGTTAATATTATGTATGACCTTTGGTAGGAATTACACTTTATAAAGTGCTGTGTAGGAAGAATAAAAATAGTTTGACCTTTTTCCACTTTGGAAGACAGTATAATTCTGTTAGATTTGTTAAAAATCTCTGATGTGCTTCTGTTTCTGCTTGGGAGGGAAACAAAGGTGTTGTTTCCACAGGATTCAGTTCCCTGTAGTGGAATTCATCTTTCCTTTTCCTGTAACCATTTCATCTTGTAACCATTCTGTGTTTTCTGGTATAATTGGATTGTGCTACAGTACATACTTGTCACTTTGTAACTTAATTTTGTAACTCTTGTAACTTTTGGTAGGTTTTTGTTACAACTTTTCTCCTGTAATTATAAACATATCAGTTCCAGGACGGTGTTTGTTTCTAAAGAAAAGTTTCAGTTTTTGTTTGGTTGTGTGCAAGGATTTTAGAAGAAAGGGCCTTCAGTTGAATTTCTAACACACTGTCCTCCCCAGGTGAAGGTCCCAGTCTTACCTGCTCCCTCCTGCTCTTTGCATGTAACTGTTTTATATGTTGGGTAGGCCACTGAAAAAGGTCTGGGTGGCAGCAAAGGATAATAAAATACCAGTACTTCAATTTCCTAATTAATAAATATGTCTGTGATTGTGCACTGCAAAAGCTTCTGGCTGTCCCATTCACTTTGTGACTGGTGGTTGTTGATTTATTGTATGACTCTGATACCAGCAATACAAAAATGTTTGACTGCTGTGTCTTAAAGAGGTAATTTTAGAAGTACATCTGTTTGAAAGAGTTGTATCAACAAGATAGTAAATATGTTTTCATTTCCTGTTGTGTGTGTGCTTAGCAGCTTTTAATGAGCCAATTTTATGGCTTCCTTAAATAATCCAGGCACACTGAAAGCAAACACTGCTTTCATGGAATATACAAAGGGTTCTGTGGTGAAAAGAAGAGCTAGGAATGAGTCCTCAGAAGTTATTGTCATGTTACAGATTCACCTGCTTAGCTTTTAGTGAAAATTAATTTCCCTGTCCAGCCTTATTGACAGAAGCTTAACTGCAATATGAATTAGAAACTGGCTGCTCCTTTCCTCACTCAGACACTGCTAAATTACCACTCATCAGAAACACATGCTTCATTTATCTTCAGCTTAATAGTTGTGCTGCTGATGATCTCTGTTTCAAAGAATGCCAGAGAAACGTGCCAGAGAGAATTCTCCACTGAAAAACTAATAGCTCTAATTTAAAGCTAGAACTAATTCTTTTCTGTGTTTAATTTTAGGGATGCAGAGAGGCTTGAAGAGTTTTATACCAAGAACCAGCAGCTCAGAGAACAGCAAAAAGCCCTTCATGACACTATCAAGGTTTTAGAAGACAGGTAAAGGAGTGTCTTAGCTTTGGGTTTGTTGTGGTTTGCTTTCACAGAGTAGCTCTGGGTACTTTGCAGTTTGGGTGTCTGGGTGGGGTTTTTTTAGTGCACCAGTCCTAATACAATCCAAGTACTGGATTTTAAAGAAAAGTGTAGTATTTAGATTCTTTTGACTGACTTAAATTTCTGTTGTGTTGTTATTTTCAAAGTGTTTAGCTTGCTTGGTTAAGATAAATAGAAGTTAAATAGATCAGCTTGGGAAACAGCCATTTTAAAGCATGGTCTTTTCCATCTCTTTTTCTAGAGGTAAATTTGGTACCAAGGAAGATGTAATACAAGTACAAACCCCATAAAACTACTAATAATTTGAAACTCATGAAGTAACTTGGTAGGAAATCTCTCAGATTTAAGGGGGCTTTTTTTACCAGTTGTCTGTTTCACAAATTTAATCACAGGTTCTGGCTTTGCTTTCTTTTGGACTTTGACATTCTGATCACCTTTTGACCCACTCAGTCTTCCTCTTATTTGTTCCTGTTTAATCTGGTCTAGCAAAGCAAAACCAAGAGATATGAAATAATGCTGAATTTTTTGTCTTTAAAAATCATGCCTGTTTTGGAAGTGCATGTTAAATTTGCTGCTGATAGGCTCTCAGAAGCTTTCAGGGAACGGGAGGTCATTTCAGAGTAAATTATTTCCCCACATTACTGTATTACCTCGAATTTTAGAGCTCTGATACTCAAATTTTGCTTTCAACTCTGTTTCTTGGTAAAAAGTGTTAGGGATAAAGCTGCACCCCACATAAGTAGAGACATTTGCAGGGTGGATGGACTTTTCTAACCCTTTAGCAGATGAAGTACTCCCACTGCAGAGAACAAGGAGTGCTTGAAGTGGCTTAATACAAGGAGATGGAAATACTGTCAGATAAGCTACTACGAAGAGGCATTTCAGTGTCCACATTTTCTTAACAGAAGGGCTTTTCTCTTCATTTCACTGTAGGTTGAGAGCAGGCCTGTGTGATCGCTGTGCTGTGACTGAAGAACATATGAGAAAGAAGCAACAAGAGTTTGAAAACATCCGGCAGCAGAATCTCAAACTCATCACTGAGCTTAGTGAGTTTCACCCACTAATCTGAAGACAAACGTTAATATTTTTGTAATCTAGTTCTTCATGAATTCCTGTAACTTAATATGATTTATATATGTTGTGTTTAGTGATCCTAAAAAGTTGAGTCAAGGGATACTTAACTCTGCAGTCTGGAAATATGTGACATACCAATTACTAGTCATTTGACCCACCTTCTCAGATTGAAGTGCTGATACTGAAAGTGAGCTCACGTGGAAAATGTTACAGTGTAAAGTAGCTACTTTAGATAAAATGTGTCTACTTCTGTTTATTCCTCCAGCTAAGGCACAGAAGGACTGATTGCCAGCTTTCCTAAGGAAACCCTGACTTCAAAAGTAACTGGTGATCACAAAGTGGCAAGTTCAGACAAAACTTCCCTGGATCCAGCTTGGGTCCTGTAGTTACCTTGGACTTTGACAGCAATAAACCCACAAACTTCACATAACCCTCTGAAGCCACTTGACACCAGGCAGGCTGTAGCCAGCTCAATTTGGACTCAGGGAGTTGTGCATATGGGACAGGGAAAAATAAACTGTTAGTTCTACGTTGCCATGAAGGCAGAACACAACAAATCTCTTCCTAAAGAGAGTTTGGAAAGATTGGTTGTATAAAGTGCTAAATAATACAGGGCAGGATTTTAAAGTGTTAATGGTATCTTGACCATTAATTGATTATTTTGTCTCATTTAGCTGTCTTGCTTGATCAAGAGCAAGCAGACATTCAGTGATGTGTAAAATATGGGAAATTCCAGACACAAAAAGGAGCTTTTCAGTGTTTAATTAAATTGTAGCAGTATTAGATTCTGTCCTAATATAAAATACATAATTTTTTCAAGGACTTTTAATATTGAATATTGATATTAAAATATTCTGAATCCTTGCATTTAATGATTAACAACAAACAGCCTACAACCAATCTTTAAATAAAGCTCTGAGCTTTAAAGATCAAAGTGAGTCTTAAGTACAAATCTTCTTGAACACTGTCTGACAGAACAGCAGTTTCCCATGAGTTTGGGCTGAGATCTATGAGTGCTTCCTGCAACCAGGAAAAAAGAAGAGTCAAGAATAATCCAGAGGTAAAATAAAAAATAACAGAAAGAAAATAAAAGTTAAAGTGAGCAGAGAAGTCAGGAGCTCCTTACAATAGTTTGAGACAGTGGAAAAAAGGCTGAGAGTGATGCAATAAGCCTGTGTGAAGTACAGCCAGAATGAACTGGATATTAAGGAAAAAAAATTCTGAGTCATCTGTCTTAAATTCAAAAATACTTAACTGAATTTTAAGAATTTGGATTTTTTCATTCTCTCCAATTATCTGGTCACTTTGGTGGCTAAAACCAAATTCTAATTATTCTTCATGGGCTGTCTTCAACTTAGAGAAGCAATTTTGTCCCTGGAGCTGAGTGAGCAATTCATTCATCTCTGTGACACAGTGTCTTTGTATGTCCACAGACAAAAGCAATTAATGATTGTGTACAACTAATATTATGATGTGACACATTTATCTGTTCTAAAACTTCACTTCAGAACCTTTTTAATGACCAGCTTGAAAATTTATTTTGGTAAGCCATGGAGAGGGTCTATGGCATTACTGTTTAGAGTTGGTTCTGTTCCCTCAAAGGACCTGACAAAATTAGTTATGGTATGGTGTTATCATGTGTTCATTCTTTTTTTTTCCCTTTTTTTTTCAATTGTAGTGAATGAAAAGAACAACTTGCAGGATGAAAATAAAAAAATAACTGAACAGTTCCAGCAGTTGCAGAAGGAGTTGGAGTAAGTTTTGAATTTTTTTTTATATATTCCCCCCTCTCTCCTTCCCATTCCTTAGTAATAATGTCTGGGAATATAATATCAGCTTTTCATCTGAGTGCAGAGTGGAGTGGATAAACAGTGATTAACAAAGATGGCCCTGCTGTTTGCAGCAGAGCTGCTGCCTGTGGTGGTTTGGCTTGAACTGGAGTCATGTTGCTTTATTTAGAGTGAACAGCTGAGATCAAGGTAACATCATTGTGTAGATGTGAGGTAATAGATTGTTTCTGGCCCTTGATGTGAAATTATATTTTCAGAAATTATATTTCTGAATCATGGCAACATTTGTCATGCATAGTATGCATGGCAACTTCTTAATTTGGGGGGTTTTGTGGTGCTATGTAGGTCATACCTCTTGTACAGCAAGTAGAGAAACATTTCTAGTAGGCTAATTTGGCATACAAGGCCACATGTATCAGGAAATTTAAAGAGAACTCTTACCAGCTAACTCTAATTTGCAGAGTAACTTGAGGTGTATGTTGTTTTGCTGTTTGTTTTTATTTGTTTTTTAAGATGTTGTTAGTAGATGATACAGTTCTCCAGTTAGGGTGCTTGTTTTGTAAATGTGCTAGAGGAGAGGAATTAGAAAATCACCCAACAGAATTCATCAAGACTTCAGAGCAAAATGCTTTTTGTCTCAAGCTAGGCAGTTTCTACAGCTTGTCATTAACTTACTTGGTATGTGTTCTCCTGGTTCATTTTGATGTGTACAGAAACAGCTCCATATTTCCTGTTCTTCCCTGAGATCAAAGCCATACCTCCTCCTTTTTACAGTTAGGAAATGATCTTTTGGGCCAGGTTTTCTCTTCAGAGTCGTAAGAAAACGTGCTACTGCAGAGAGATGTCTGAGTTAGATTTCCTTGTGCTTGTCTTTGGCTGCTTCTTCCACTTCTCACTGCCCCCACATGACAGGTAGCAGTGCCCTTGTGAAGTACTAGCTAAACTGAACTAATACAGCTTCTTCCAGGGAAAAACTCTTCCACAGTGCAGCAGTTAAATGTCTTCAGATGTGAAGAGCTGGGGTTGTGTGCTGTGTTAGGCTTCAGTTTTCTACATGGCTGCTTCTCTGGATCAAGTGATTGTTTGCTGAGATGAAATGGTTTTATTTGACCATCTGATTTGATCTCCAGGGAGCGAAGGCAGCAAGCACTGGAATTAGAAGAAGGTGTTATCCCAGATTCTCCAGTTCTGACTTCTACATTTTCTGTGGTGAGTCGTATGAGAAGGAAGAAGGAGAACAGGCACGTCCGATACACGGAGCACGTGCCCCCAGACATGGAGCTTGCAGACAGCAACAGTGGTAAGAGTTGGCTTTGGGGGTTTTTAAATTAATTTGAAAGGATCTTTTTAAGGGCTAAATGAAAAGGTTATGTGTAAGTTTGATTGCAAAGGGTGAGAGCTAAAAATAAAAAATCTTTTGTGGGAGTTTGGGTTTGGCTTTTTTTCCATTTGTGATACATGAGTCAGAGGAAAAAACATCTTTAGCAATAACTGTTATATCAGTGATATGCTCAAAGCCTCCTACTTCTCTTCATCCACATGCACATACAAATACAACAGTTTTCCAGCCCTTATCTCTCCTGTAGCTGTAAACTAAGGAAAAAATAAGGTTTGGCTCAGCATAGCCCTGTATCCCCACCTAGTGGAGAGTGAAATAGGTATTTTGCCACATTCAGCAATTACTCTGCTATTGAAATAATATTACTGAAACTGATTGAGATCTGCTTCCAGCATCTGCATGATCTTTCTTTTTTTGGTAGTGATACACTGTTTGCATTTTTTTTTGTGCTAAGTATAATGTGCATTTAATTTCCAAAGTTTGTTCTGTAGTGTTGTAGAAATAGCTCTAAAGTAGTTTAACCATAAGAAATATTTGTGTCCAATAAGGGACTTTGTGCTTGTATTTTAATGAAACACAGGAAATATGATAGGCAATCCAGGTACTTTTAATTTGTTCATTTATCTTGTGAAATAAAAATGGATTTTAAATAATATATGAATACATCTAAATACAAGTCTTGACTAAAAGCCTCTTTTCAAGACTAAACATTAGTGTCATTAGATCACTACATCTGCTGACATAGCAAAACTTGCATTCAAGTGCTTTTAAGATCAGGATCATCATCTGTATCTACACTAAATTATCACAACAGGATGGCTCATTTCACCAGGTGAAAGTGTTTCTCCATCTTCTCCTAGAGTTTGGAAAAATTCCACTGTATTCCACACAAGTGAACAGTCACCATGGAGAAGAGGTACTAGTGGCAGACACCTGTGACCCACAACTCTCCCCTGTACCAAGTAAGTGTATGAACAGATTTAGTTCTAACTCCACTGAGCAGAAGGCAAAAATATTGTAAAACATCTTGGAACAGAGGAGCCAGAAAAAGGATAGTATGTTTAACCACAGAACTGCAGCTGAATGCCTGTCTGGAAATGTCTGCCACAGCATCAGGGCTTAGAGTCAAGAAATGGAAGGGAAAAACAGAAGAAATAGAAGCTCAGTGTGTCTCTTACTTACAGTTTATGTACTATAGATAGCAAATATCTCTTAGGTAACTTATCCAATTATCTTACATCTGATTTTCCAGTGGTACAGGAGATGAAATATTCTGAGAATTGCATTTACTGTCTGACATGAATATGTAACATTTAGAAGGACTTGTGTAAGTTATTCCCTTTCTTCAGTTGTGAATTCATACAAGTCTTTAAGTCTTAAGTCCTTCTCCATAAATAGTTCTTTGACAGGAACTTTCTGACCCTTATTTTTTTTTTTTTCTGTGAAGTACTTAACTATAAATGACTGCAAGAATCAGCATTTTGCAATCATTTGTGAAGTCAGGGTTGTGCTGGTTGTAGATCTTGTCCTTTCCCATCATATTACCTTGCCCCAGTTTAAGAAGCTGAGTTATGTTAAACCACTAAAAGAAGGGAAGCTCATCTTTTTATTTTCATAATAAAACCAGGATGAATGATTGTGTCACCTAGGAAATCTGCAACACAAGTGTTTTACTATAAATATACATTACCACTGTTCCACATGCTCTTCTCAGACTATTCATGCCTTGGACCTGCAGTTTGAAAAGCAGCTTTTCCACTGACTTGTCTGTGTTTTAATTTTGGAGGGCTGTGCTCAGATTATAAACACATTTCTCTGTGGTGACAGAGCAATTAGCTCTCATCAGAAATTCTTCTTTTGCCCCCTTCTCCACTTACCACTCCTAGATCACAATTTTTATTGACACAGGTCAAACTGTTTTCATAGTTACTGATTTTGATTTGTGATCTTTTTAGTTCTTTGTTAGTATCTTACTCCACTTGTGCAGAGGGTACAATAATGTGTATGTAACTTACTGTGAGTTTCTTTCTACTCATAAAGACAAACCAAGGATGGGAGGCTACTCTGTTCCAAAGCCATCCTTTAACTTGGCTGCAGTCGTGGCAGAAACAATTGGACTTGGTGTTCAAGAGGAATCTGTAAGTAGTATGCCCAAATTTCTTACACAATCAGCTTGCCTTTTTTCTTGCTGCATTAAAACCTGCAAAAGTATTCCAAGTTCCAGAGAGCTCACTGAGGTTTGCTTTTGCTTACTCATTCCAGAATTGCTGTAGCAAGAAGAGATAGATGTGTGCTCACCTGTCCAGGGGGTGGGGAGGGGGGTAGGGGTGCAGGTCCTGTGGGGTATTTAACTTTCTGGTTTGAGGAAGACAGTGGACTAAATCCTTAGGTCTGTCAGACTCATTTTGGGGAGTAATCAAGTCTAAGACACTAAAAAAGATGATTTGGTGCTGAGACTGGTGAGATGATTTGATGATTTTGATGGGTAACTGCAGTGAAAATTATCATTTGCAGCCTTTTTGTGTGTGTGTGCTGCATCTCAGTGATGAAAAATTTTGATTTCCATAAGAATTCTTTAAAGTTGTTGGCCAAAATTTCATTCCTCTTTTAACTTCTATTATTTTTGAGCGTTTTGAATTGTTCAGTTTGAATGGGTCTTCAGAGTGCTTATGTGCAAGCCTAGCATATTTCAAGTTTTTAATTCTAATAGCTTCTCACATTTCCTTTCTTTGTTTTCCATCACCCCTTGCAAGGAGTCCCAAAGTGTACTGAGTCCTCCCTGCACTAATCCTGTTGTGAGCCAGGCCCCAGAGAGCATGCAGTCTGAAGACTCAAGAAAGCATCAAGCTTCTGAAGCAAGAAATGATGACAACAATTTAGGGTGTGTTTCCACTTGGTTGTAATAAAATTATTTGAAGCAGGCTTACATGAAGTTCTGATTATAGCAGAATTTAAAACCTCACAGCAGTTTGCTTTAAAAGTACAGACATGGAAATAAATATTTTCATATTATATGGGCTTCTTTCAAGTAAATAACATGAGAAGCAAACAACTGTTTACTTTTACTTCATGCTCAAACTTCTGATTTGGGCTTTCTGTGTACTCAGTCCCTTCTTGTTAGTACAAGTTATCTTCTGAGGGCCACAAACCTGCTGCTAAGGAATCTGGAGCTGGCATCTTAAATGTATGTTTCATTGGTGACAAGTAAAAACCAAGAGCACCTGAAAGAAGGTTGCACATTTTTCCTTCTCTTGCAGAAGAATCTCTTATCATGGTTCTAAGATCTATACAAGAACCTAGACAGACTGTTCTCACAACCAGTCCCACTTTCCTCAGTTCCACTGCACTGAAGGGTGGGGAGTCCTTTGGTAGAAGAGATTCCTAGTCAGGCTTAACTCTGTCCTTGGTTCTCAGCTCAGTGTGGGACAGAATTTCACACCATACTCACGTGAAGGGCAAGGTCTGTGCTTTGTTTACCTTCCACAGCTCTAAGTGCAGCAGTACTTCTAGACCAAAAATGTCCCTTTTCTTTTTCCTTCTGCTTTCAGTTACTACTAAACTAGCACATCACTGGCTGAAACTTAAAATTTTTGTCTGTCCTTTTCTCTCCTTCCAGTCCCCTGTGTACATCAGAAAAAAATCTCATCCCTCATTGTATTCAGTCTTTCAGATGCATCTCAGAGCACCCCACCACACGTTGACTGGGATTCTCAGGCAGCTTCTCCTGTTTTTGGAGCCTCCAGCAGCATGAAGAACAAGTCAAGCACGAGTCACGCCCCTTGCGTTTTAGATTCAGGATTGAAACCCAATCTTAAACCCAACATCTTCAACAACCCTGCCTGTTCCAGATCTCATAAAAGTCGACCAAAATCTGAAGATGTTGCTTTTGTAGCACCACTGAATCTTGGAACAGAGATCAGCTCAGTTATCAGCCAGGCCTCCAGCAACAGGCAGATGGTGGTGAAGAAGCAGACGAACGAGGCTGTGACCTGTGCTGGGAACGCTTGTGGAGCTAAAAATGAGGCAGTCAAGAGCGACTTCCTTCTCATACACCTGAAGCAGCTCGAAGGCAGGTGTGCTAAGAGGAAGAAAGCTGAAGATGAGCATGGAATCAGCTGTGAAAAAACATCCTTCAACAAGGAGAACGCGGAGCCCTGCCGCCCAGGGGCTCAGCAGCTCAGCGGGGAGCAGGCGGCTGACAAGCCCCTGGACCTCTCCGACCGCTTCGCTGGGACCCGCTGCCAGGAGAGGAGACAGGGAGGTGAGGACACCTGCAGGAACAGACTGAAACAGGTGACTCTGCACGACATCTTTTCACACCTAGGGAAGCCCCTTCCTGAAGGGTCGGCACCCGTTCAAAACGCCAGCGGTGAGAACTGTTTGCTTGGCAGAGGTTTCCAGGAGGAGTCCTACCTCCCAGAGGCAGTGCTGGGCAAAACCTTCCCAGATAAGAAAACCCAGATCCAAATGAAAGAAGAAGTTCCTCCCTTTAAAATTGCACCACTGCCAAGTTCTGCAGAGACAGAGCAGCTTTTTGATGATGTCATGGTATGCTTTTCTGACTTGTTTTTGCCATCTTCTCCTTTGAAATATTATGTTTGAGTTTTGGGAAATAGTAAAATTGCAATATGTTGTTAGGTTGCCAGTGGCCATGTACCAAATAGAAAGAAAACAAGGACAGGACATGGAGAGTCTGAACCAGCATCTGTGCTTCAACCAAACCCTTGTAGACTATCAAAAAATAAAGCACTGCAAAATGAGCAAGGTAACCTGATGAAAATGATCATTTTCTTGCCCCTTTGTGCTCCTCACTCCCCCAGCCTGTGCTGTGGTTGGATGAAGTTTTTATATCTTGTCTTCCACTTTTTAGACACTTGCTCTGTTCTGCTTCTCAGTCTCATTCTGTTAAGGACTTCTCAAGATCACCCCCAGCACTTTCAGTCTGTATCTTCCTGGCATTCTTTTGCCACTGTATAGTAAATATATCCTTGGTATTCAGCTGCAAACTCAACAGGCTCAGAACCTTGTTCTTTGTCATTTATTTTGTGTTGTTGCTCACTGCATATGAATAACAGATACTGAAATAAAATCTCAGGAAGTTTGCTTTTAAACTATATCAAATGCAAACTGTACTGAAGTGTAAGGCTAAGTCTTTTCATTCATATTTTTCATTATTCCTGATGATCTGTTCAAGAAATTTATACCTTTCATAAGATTCTGCCAAATACTCTTCCTAGAAGTTGTACCTTCTTTCCTATTAAGTAGTCCCAGTGCAAAAAACTTATTTTTCAAACTGGCATTGTAGGATCACTGCTTCTGTACTGCTTAGCTGAGTGGTTACACTGCTTATTTTACAAAGAAATACTTTCATTATGAAATTAAAAAAAAAAATCCCAGTCCTTGGTGTGGCCATGTAGCATGGAATCTAAACCTCTACTTGACAGGTAAATCAAGAGCCATCTCTGGGACAATGACCAGACACTTCTGTACTCTTTTGTATTCTAAGACCTGATCTTTGTGTTCTTATCAATCTATTATTGTCTAATATGTCTTCTATTCACTCTTCATGCCATCTGATTTACACAGTACAGAGATTTTTACCTGCAGGAGTATTTTATACAAACACAAAGGACAAAACCACTTCAAGATCTTTTTCTAACTTTGAGCATGTTCATTGTTTCAGAAAAATCCATCCCTAAAACCAAAGATGAATTGATAAAAGGAGAGCTGACTTATAATTTAAATGCAACAGGATGCTGTTGGCAGAATTTGATTCTGATGATTTGTCTTTTTTTTCTCATATTTTGTGCATCCAGACCTGAAAGATAAACCTTTAGAAAATCTGCAGTGGAGCATGGACCCAGGAGCTGACCTTTCACAGTACAAAATGGACATTACTGTGATTGATACAAAGGTAATCTTTTATTACAAGTCTGCATGTTCTGTGAGACTGAAAAGAGCCTCCAAAAGTAACATCATGGCCTTTATTCTGGTCATATCCACACCACTTCTAACAGAAATCTAAATTCAGCTCATTTGATACTTGCTTGCACTCCTGGAGTGTTTGTTGTTCCATAGTACCTACAGTTGTCCTAAAAAATTTCCAGTGCCTAGTTGTGCTTGATAAACTCAGCCAGATGGCTGCTCAGTATGAAACTGATGCATTTGGGGGTGGTTCAGGGTTTCTTTTAAGACAAAATAAAGTTCTGAATCTCATAATTTTCTTCTGTGAAGATATTCACTGTGATAACTCTTTATTACCTTTATATTGTGTTATCCCTTCATAGTTAGGTGATAGAAACTAAGTGCAAATGTCTATTGCCTTTCTTTGAGGGGGTTGCAGGTTGATTAGTAGGGTCTCTGAGAATTTTCCTGAAGTCTATTTCTGTTGTCTGACTTAAAGGCTATCTTAAAATCTATTAATTTAACCAGTTTTTAATTTCTGTATGCTTCATTGTTATTTTTTGTCTTTGTAGAATATAACATGAAAAGCTTAAGGCACTTCTTGCCCATCAAGTGATAAAATCCACCAGATGAATATTTTTTTTATGTTTTAATTTCCAAACATGTTATAATCTTACCTAGATTTTGTGTCTTTATCACACAGATGTTACTGCAGAGGAGAAAGAAAAATGGAGTGTCCAGAAAGTTGCCAGTAACTGTTGTGAAAGTGTTTCAGATACACAGCAGGGACATTGACCACACCAGTTGCTTTTGAGTGCAATTGTCATCTTTGCTGTCTTTTTTTTTTAGGATGGTTCTCAGTCAAGAGTCAGAGGGGAGGTTGTGGATATGGATTATACATATGTCAGTGAAAGTGTGCTATTAAAAATGAAACAGCAGGAGCAAAACCTGGAAAGCAGTCCAAGTAAGACATCTCTTTGTCCATTGGTTTGCCTTTTTTGGAGGGAGGGGGAGAGTAAAGGATGCTTTTTTTGCCCCTCCCTGTATTTACACAGTAGAAAATGGTTTGCAGTACAAAGCACTGGTGTATTTTTGAAGGCTGTGAGGAGCAGTTTGTTTCCTAGCAGAATCAGTGGTGGAGGTTGGTTTTTTTCTAACATAGCTTAAGAAAATGGTAGGATTTGTGCTGAGATGGAGCCAGTAGCTGTGCTCTTAAAGTGCTTAAAGAGCTAAAAACTCTCTATATAAAAAAAACAGTTCTCATCTCCCCTGCAACAATCACCCTTCCAACAAACAGCTTTGAAGCTTTGCTATGTAATCATATCAGACTTGGTATGGGAAGACTAATTTCACTTTTAATGACATATAAACAGAACTAGTGTATTTACTATAAATCTAAACATGCTCCTGTCACATTTCATGTGTGCTGTGTGGTGAATCATGGCTGCAGGGCAGGGACTTTTAATGCTGTGGGTTTGGGTTTTTAAGCTGTTGCAACTTGATGACGTTTCCATAGTTTATCTCCTACCCACAGGAACTATTTCCTTCTGCTTAGATAACTCCAGAACTGCAAGGAAAAGAGCTGCATTAATATTAGAAGTAGCATCAAAGTGATTTAGTAACTAGTCATATTTTAGAAATGGGATCAAAATATCTATGAAAAATAAATGAGCATTGGCCATAGTTGAAACGCTGACAGAGACACTGCAGAAAGAATAAACATACAGCTGATGTTGAGTTAGTGCTGGAGCAAGAGGCAGATGTTTGTTCTTTTGATACACATTCAGATACACTTTTTGACTTAGATTGTTGAGAGACTGATTTGAATGTCTTTTTATAACAGGAGCAGAAAAGAAAATGCCTGACACCTTAACAGAGATGTTTGATCGGACAACTCATGAAGAGTATGAGTCCTGCCTGCCAGAAGATAATCCTCCAGCATGTGATGAGAAAGAGACTCTTCATGGTGAAGAGCAGGATAAAGGAATAACAGCAGCAAGCAAGAAACTGAAGAGTGGGATATGATTTGTTTTGTCTTTATTAGTCTGGTTAAGCTACAAAAGTCGATTTGCAATCAGACTGTTCTCTAGGAACAATTGTGCCAAATAAACCATCACTTCATTTTATATAAATTCATTGGAAAAATTATTCATTGTAAAGACATACCAGAATAATTTTCATATTACTTTATGTTATTCCATTTAGCCACCACAGAAATAGGGGACATGCAATGGCAGTTGGCATAGGAGCTGTACAGCAAAGGGACTTACAGGAAGCACCACTTTTGGCTGCTGATTCCTTGCTTCCTTTCTTTTCCCTGTCATAGGTTCTGTTGAAGATATTGCAGTATTTTGTATTTTAAGCAGCCTTTGCTTTGCTGTACTGCTGATCTTTTCCACTTGTCTCACTGCTGTTGTCCTTATACTCCAGTCATGCTTTTTGATTGCTGATTCGATCGATTCTATGTGATTTTTAAATATCTGTTGTCTCAGACAGTTTAAAAATTTTAATAGCTGACTAATAATTTTACAGATGCTTCTCCAGGCAGTCTGTTAACCTTCTGTGACATGTAATTTTGCATGTGTATTTACAGAACACGAGGACAAGCAAGACAAAGCCAAGCAGAAAGCTTTTGTGGAGCCGTATTTCAAAAGTGACGAGAGGTAATTGAGTTTGTTCTGTGTGGGCATTTTAAGGCTCTTTATATCCTCCCTATAGGGAAATTGTTCTTCCAGAAAACAAATATGTTTGTGCATGTTTGTGGCTGAAGATGCACAGGTAAAAGATCTCCTGCATTTAACAGAAGCCCTAGATAAAAGCCAGGGGGGTTAAACACATTGGGATGTCTGTCCATCGTGTTTGCTGAAGGGAAGGGATTGTCTCTTCTGCTTTTTATAATTTTATTGAATGCAGTATTTTGTAATCCATGTTGTTTCTTACAGGCATGAGTTAATGAGTAAAGAGCCTATGGGTTGCTTGTACAAATAAAAACCTCTCCTTCTCTGGCATTTTTGCCCCTTCCTGTAGGCAATAAACGAGTAATGTTTAACAACTGTACCTCTTAGTGCTTCCTCTGCTGCTTTTCTGTGTAATCAATCATCACTGCTAGTCTGAAACTTCCTTCCATAATGATACCAAGCCCTTCAGGTAAACAGTTGGGAGCTTCTTTTTTACCTCTGAGTATGTTTTCTATGTAGAGGAAAACCTGTGTAGTGTTTGTGAGCATGTGTGTTGAAAAGAATTGTTCTGTTCTTCAACTCACATACATTCCTCTTGCAGAAATCAGACAAAATCTAGATCTCTTCTAGAATATTTGAGTAATTTTGAGCTAGTAATTACTTTCACACTATGAAAAGCCATAATAATGAGAGACCCACCTCTGGTTATGTAAAAGATGATACATTTCTAAAATCCTGGAATCCTTTAGCTACAAAAATTGTCCTGTTCAGCTGTGAAATGCAGTGTGATTGGGTTTTGCAGGCATTTCCTTATCTTTTCTTGTGGCTACCCTTCATTCTGTCCTAAAAACTGGAAATTTCCAAATATGTAAAAGTAAAAATTAAATTTATTGTTGTGCAAAACAGTTTTGGGGTTTGTCTTTCAGGAAGAATACTGTGCTAGATTTCCCTCATATTGAGGTTATTCGAAAAAAAGAAGAAAGAAGGAAATTGCTTGGCCATACTTGTAAAGAATGTGAAATAGTAAGTAGTGCTTTCAGATTTGATCAGTCTTCCACTCTCCTAATTCTGCTGGTGTCTAAGGGATAAAGTGCTGTTCTAATTATGGATCTAATTATTAATCATTGCAGAGAAGTGTGTGTTTACAAAACCTGTTGTACCATTTGGGGCCGGTTGGTTGAACTGTAGTAACTGCCTATGACTTAGGCTTAATCTTTTTTGTGTATCTGTGTGAGAGGAACTTCTTATATCATGGTTCCAGTAAGATTTGTGTTAATAAAAAATACTTTAGCTTGTCCAATAATGATTACAAGTTTCTAAATTTTAGTTCAGAACCTCTACTGAAATTTACAGGTACTAGAATAAGTCAGTTTATGTCCTATATTACCTATATATAGATATAGCTTGATTTTTTCCCTTGTTTTATGTTATGTGGCTTAAATTACTTGGTTTAGAGATAAAATATTGGAGTAATTACATGTGTAATAAAGACATATTTCATTTGGCCATTACTAGACTTTCAGACTGGAGTTAATTAGGCAATTATCTAACACATTAGGACTCGCCAGAAGTGTGGATTAATGACTGAATAATGATGGGTTCTCTGGAATCATTTCACTCACTTTCCACACCTGGAGAGAACCATCATTTTTAACAGATTCTCTTGCTATTCCCTTTATAGTTAAGTCACATTTACTTAGCTGAAGAAATTTGTTAGAGTGTATTTTTAACAAAAACCCAATCCTGAAAAAATAGCTTGGGTAAAACTCATTAAATGCAAATAATTAAGTTTTACAGTCAACTATAAATACCATTCTCAAAGCTATGTTTGAGTTGAAAGAAAACAAGATGTTGGAAAAGCAAAAAAAGTTGAAAGAAAACAAGATGTTGGAAAAGGAAAAAAAAATAGCTTTGAATGAAATGCCCCTGGAAGAAGGGAGTGTTAGACAAAGCATAAATGATGCTTTAAAAAAAGTCTTGGTTTGCTTCTTAGTCATATGGGTTTAAAAGGCTCCAGAGTCAAGGAAATATTTGGGAAAAAAAAAGCTTTGAATGAAATGCCCCTGGAAGAAGGGAGTGTTAGACAAAGCATAAATGATGCTTTAAAAGTCTTGGTTTGCTTCTTAGTCATATGGGTTTAAAAGGCTCCAGAGTCAAGGAAATATTTGGGAAGTGGCAGAGATTGCATGCAGGAATTGCTGGTAGCTTGTAACAGTTGTTAGTGTTGTTACTGAGCTTAGCTACACTGTGAGAAGCTGGAGACTTAGTCCCAGGTATGTTTTATAGACATTTAGCTGACAGAAATTGCTCTGTAAGTAACTTTGTGCTGAAGTAATGAGAGCAGCATTTTAAGGGTTTGTTTTCCTTCTGGGACTGCAAACTGTGGAGTTCTGTAAACAGTTCTCTTTCAGTGAGGGCCCTGCAGGGTGAGGTTGGGTTTATCTTTTCACACATGGAAGAGCCTAGCTGAGATGTTCTGCAGGGGTTGAAAATGCTGTGGAGAGTGAGAGCAGTCTAGAAAACAGCTGAGAGTTTTTTGCTCTTCATGTAACTTCCTCATTCTTTGGCAGATTTCTAAAGAAGCCAAAATAAACCAAGTTAATGTACAATTTCTTTTGAATACATAGCTTGATTATTTTTATTTTCTATTTCTAGGAAACTTCTGTATTTTTCATTGTTTGATCCATAAATGCTCCTCACCAATCACAAGCATTTAAAAAAAAAAAGGCAGCACACTGCAGGCTGTTTTCTAAAATTCCAGGCTGTTCAAAGGGCAAACATAAGGTGTACTGCTAATTACCCCTAAATAAGACTCAGCTATTAATCTCTTTGCCTTACACAAGTTTCTTATAATTAATGAAAATACCTCAAACCCAAACTGTCTCCCTGTTCCATGACTGAAAGGGGATCTGCTGTAAAGAGTGTGGGGGCATCCTGGGCTTACACACAAGACATTTTGAGGAGCATTTTGCTAGAGAATGGTTGTAACCATTCCTGAATATTACCTATGGAACAGTTTCTTCTGTGCTGTGTACCAGACAAGCAATCTGAGGTGCAGGGTACAAGTGTTATTCTTCACAAAGTTTGTCTTTTTGAGGGGTAACACTCTTATTTCAGTAGAATTTGTTTAGCCCTTTGATGAGGGTCAGGGTTCTTGTGCAATACAAATTATGACTTGAATCAAACAGTACATTCACTTGGAAAACTGGTGTTTCCAGGACATGCTAACTAGAATCACAAAGAGCAGAAAGCTGCATGGAAGAACCCTGTTCTTTCTAGGATGCCACTCATGGGAACACCCAGGAAAACAGTTTGGAGGGTGTTTATACTTTTCTTGTTGCAGCCCCCAGTACAGCTGGCAGGGGTGAAGGAGCAGACAGCAAATTTACTGTGTGCTCTAGAGACTGCCCAGCTGGAGCCCCACTTTCCATCAGCTCATTAAACTAGCTCTTACTCCTCATTTAAGTAATAAAGTAGGAAGCGTTTTGCCTTAAGTTTGCTATTTAGTAAATTCAGACATTGGAAATGATTCTGCAACATATTGGGGGGGTTTTACTGTGTTTTTTCACTTTTCTGTTTTATCTGTAGATATGAGCTGACACTTTATTAGCAAATTCCCATCTACTTCAACACCTGTCCTGCTTAGCTCTGTAAAATCCATCAGTCTGTTGACACAAGTGATTGGACACACAGCTAAACTTTGTGCCTGTGGCATGTTAAAAGTTATAAAGCTAACAAATTTGCCAGCATGAGGGTGTACTTAGTCTGTAAATTCAGTGAGCTTTTAAGATAATGGCTGTGTGTTTGTCATGGGGGTAAAAAATCCCTGCTCTTGGCTCTCCCCTCACCATTATTGGTAGATAACTGTGTTAATAAACAGCAATTAACAGTGTCATTGTTTAAAGCACTTGCTCTCTATGTATGAATTTGTTAACTTACTTTTTTTTTTCCCCCATCCCATGTAGTATTATGCAGACATTCCAGAAGAAGAGAGAGAAAAGAAACTGGCTTCCTGTTCCAGACACAGGTTTCGCTACATTCCCCCAAACACTCCTGAAAACTTCTGGGAGGTTGGATTTCCTTCTACCCAAACTTGTGTGGAAAGAGGTTTGTGCAAAAAAAAGGCTTACAAAGCTCTTTTTAAAGCTCATTTTTTTTGGTTCTCTGAAGTTCTTTACTTCACAAAGCAGCTTTTCTCACTCTGTTTTGGGGTCTGTTTACTTACCAGCAGCCATTATCTTGACTTTCCATGTAGTTTTTAATAGGGGAGCCCTGCTTGTTGGTGACAGTGGAAAGCTGAGGGTTTTTTTGACTCCTTTTCACACAGAAGACTCTTCTTTCCTAAACAACTCTTCTGAATCCTCGAGCTTGGTGTAAAAATGAGTTTGTAGTGCTGTAGATTTCTTCAGAAGCTGTGGAGCTCTGAGGTGAGGAGCCCTGTGTGAACTCTTTGAGTTACTTAGATCTTTAGTGGTGCATATGTGACTTCCCAAATGGAGTCAGAGAGAGACTCATGGATTGGAAAACAAAACTAAACTAGCTTTAATCTCTTTGAGTTACTTAGATCTTTAGTGGTGCATATGTGACTTCCCAAATGGAGTCAGAGAGAGACTTGATTGGAAAACAAAACTAAATCAGCTTTAATAATCACAATAAAGTGAAATATACACAAAAGCACTGTTGAAGCCAAGCCCCCTGATGGCAGTGACATCACAGTGTTCTCCTCTGGTATCATCCTTCATCTTTCAGAGCAGGGAGCCTGGATTTTTAGGGGCTTCCAGAACTTTGTAGTGCAAATCCTGCTGCTTAACCAAGATAAACTGAGTCAAGTTCATTTAAATTTGAAGCTGTGTTTTCAAGAAATAGATGTATTTCAAACAAAAGTGTTCAGAACTTCAGATCTCCCCCACTCACTGTGGGGGACAGATGTTAAATTTGCTCGTGAAGCTCTCATCACGTTCCTCCTGGTTAAATATCCACTGCAGAGGGTTCATGTTGGGCTTTTTCTTCCAGGTTGGACAAATCCTTCATGAATAAGAATGCCCTCTAGACAGAATTGTATTTATATTGTATTTCTTACCTCAGATTTGTTCTTATTTAAGGGTATATCAAAGAGGATCTTGCCCCCTGCCAACGCCCAAAACGCCGCCAGCCTTACGCCGTCATGTTTTCCCCAAAAGGCAAAGAGCAGAAGACATAAAGGATGGGGCAGTCAGGCACAGCAACTTGAAGAGCATCCTCCCTGTCCTTAGATATTTATAGTTAATATAAACTTGAAATAAAGAACTCTTTTTCACAATGATAGGTGAATCATTTCATTAAATATGTAAATGTTATAAAATTCACTTGAAAATCTGATGTGCCAGGAAATGAAACTATTTAATGTACGTTTGCTTCATATTGTGTTAGGTGAATCATTTCATTAAATATGTAAATGTTATAAAATTCACTTGAAAATCTGATGTGCCAGGAAACTATTTAATGTACGTTTGCTTCACATTGTGTTAATACATTTCATGGTGATTTTTGCACCTCTCAGACAAGGAGTCTCTTTTTTTAAGTCAGCAGTTAAAATTCCAGCAAATCCTGCCTAAACTTTGTGTCAGTGAATAACTGCTTTGAAGCCACTGAAGCCGGTTGTTGCAAGGGCCAAATGCCTGTCAGTGGGAGCAGAGATGCAGATTTTGTAGGGTGCTTTTATTTTGCACTGGACTTTTTTTTATATAGCCTTTCTCCTTTGGCAATAATGGTTATATCTACTTGTAATAAAGCTGTATTAAATATGAAACATGCCTACTGTTAATAGTTTGGGGGGATGAAAACCACGTAGTCCGTTGGTGTTATATATTTACCAGCTTGTGTTCCTCAGTGTTGAAATTTAGAATACCCAATATTTCTTTCTCTGTAATTTGGATCTATTTGTTTACATCATTTATTGGTAGAGGTAAGTGGTGTTATTTGTGAATTTGAGAGCTTTTGAAGCTGTCAGTGCATGATTCATCATCAGGGAAGGGGAAGGTTGCTCACCAGGAAGCAGGTTTGGTTACAAGCAGAAGGGAGAGAGGAGTGCTGCTCCACTAGAGGACAGTAAGGAACTGCTTGTACACTGCACACAGGGCAAGAACTACCCTGTCCTACACTTACAAAGTGTAGGAATTCAGTTAGAGATTTCTACTTGCAGTAATTTCCAATTGCAGTTTGTGTTGGAAACACTGTTTCCCCAAAGTTTGAGAAGCATGTTGAGAATGATGAACATCCTGACCTATTTCACAGCCCTTTTCAAAGCTCACTGATCTGGATTAACCTCCTCTGGTGTCTTCCCTTCAGCCATCCTACAACTGGTGGCTGTTGGATCAAATATTTCAAGTTTACTGTATTTTAAATCTGAGTTTGCTCTTTTTCTGTATTTTTTACTACTCAAGCAGAGGGAGCTGCATCTTTTTGATACATTGATGTTATATACTCACCAAGAGAAAATCACACCTGTCAAAATATTTGGATCAGAGCATAGAAAAACAAACTAATGTGATTCTGTTGTGGCTACTGTCCCTGCAGCCCTCAAGCAGAGGATCTGCTGCTCTGCACATCCACCCAGCAACCCCCAACAAACACAGCTTTGGGGGCATCCAAACAGGGTCCCCAGGGCTGAGACCCTGCCAAAAGCAGTGGGGATGAGTGTGTGAGCTGGAGTTTGATTTTTAAATGAGTTTTAGAGGGTTGGGGTTTCCAAATAAAGGGTTTCCCTCAAACAGGGAAGGTTTCCAGTCAGGCAGGGTCTGCCCTGGCTCTGCTGGTGGCTGCTCAGGGATCTGTACGTGGAGAGGTGATTTCTGACTGCTGCACTGGCACCTGAACTCAGCCTGCCAGCAAAAAGAGGAGAAAGAAGCTACAGGGAGAGAGCTCTGAGCTGCAGTGAGTGTAGAGGCTGCAGCTTCTCCCTGCTGCAGGACCTGGGCTCCAGGAGAGCTGTGCCTGAGGCTTTCCTTCTCTCCCACCCAAGGGACACAACAGCCTGAAGCAGAAGATCATTAGCTCCACGACCTGGGGCTCCAGGTCCCTCCCACTATCCAGTTACTAGGAATTTTCCAGCAAGACCCCATAAGGAGGTGTCAGTGATAAAAGCCAACCTGAGAAGAGCCCTCTCAGCCTCAGGGCTGAGCACACTAATAAATCATTCAGCACAGCACCTTCTAAACAACAGCCCCCAAGCAGTGATATTTGCCCAAGTTCCTCCAGCTCATGCCCAGCTGGTGTCCTACAGAGCTGCCAGAGAGCTCTCAACCTGAGCAAGAGGTGCCAGGAGTGGTGGAAGGACTCAGGGTATCACAGGGACAGCTCGTGGGCTTAGCTCTGGGTGCTGCTGAGCCAGGAATATCTGATGGAATAAATACCAATCAAAACTGAAACCTCTCTAATTAACCACCGTGGAACAGAGGTTTCAGTTCATCAGCACAGTACGTGTCAAAGTTGGGGGCTACCTGCATGCAAATCATAAGAGTATTTTCTTCAAAAGCCAGTAATCCTAGGACAACTTGATATGCTCTAGCAGCACCTTCTGGAAGTCAAATTTCTCTTTATTTATAGGCAGCCCAATGAAAATATTGTGTCTATTGCCCTTGCAGCAGGCTTAGAAAACAAAAACCAACTGCAGGAATTTGTGATGGAAAGTTTCTGTCCTCTCACTGGGACTGGCCAGTCTGTGAGAAGAGAAGGAAAGGGGCTATATATATATTTACTGATATATCAAGTGTGTTTATTTTCATATATACATATTTATAGATAGACTTAAGAATCATATTCTCAGGAGAAAGTAAAATGCATATTTTTAGTCCATAGGAGAAGGAATAATACTCCTTCTTAGGCTAGAAGAGAGTGATGTGTGTCTCCAGAGAAGCTGTGGGCTCCACAGGAGCTTCTCTGCTGCACTCTGCATCTGTGAAAAGCAGATAAAAGGTCAGTGTGTTCACTGGATGGATGGATGGATGGATGGATGGATGGATGGATGGATGGATGGATGGATGGATGGATGCAGCAGTAGATGCACCTATGTCGTAGGTAGTTCTAAGGTCATAAGCTCAATGCTGACCCATGTGGTGTTTTTCTTCTTTCCCTGTAAACTGGCCAACTTGTGGAGAACAAAAACCTCCACCAGCTCTTGCAGAAAAAAAAGAGAAGCCTTGAAGCTTTGACCAAACCAGCCCCCGGGGCCATTTCAGCCAGCACAAAACTAACAGGCAAATCAAACAGAGAAATATCCCAGCAGAGCTCAGCTGGCTGAACAAACAGGGAAACTCGGGTTCCAAAGAGCAGAAGAGCTGGGTTATGAAAGGAGATTTTTGATACAAAAGGAAGCTTGGAGCTCTCTCTGATTAGACAGGGAAGAGAAAGGTCGCCCTGGGTGTCAGACCACACTTCACACACACACAGAGGTTATTCAATCAATATTTGTCCTGGAATCACATGCTGTGGAAAAACTTGCAAGCGAATGGTCAGCAGAATTTAATGCTCATTCATGTCGTGCTCTTGGATGGACATGTGTTTTTAAATCTAGCACAGCCCGAGCTTCAGAATCCAGGAGGTTTTTTAACCAAAACCCAGGAAGATTTTGGGATGAAACACTGGATGTGCACGTCCCTTTCAATGACATCGTCAGCAGGATGGGGACTCCTCGCCTAGGATTGTAGAAGGGGCTCTGTGGGAAGGAGGGAGAGTATTTCGACACCCAAATTCTGGACCTCACAGGAAAAATAATTCAGTGAAGGCTCCAGAAAGACAACCTTGTGCATAGAAAGCTTCTGAAGGGCTTTATTCTTGCCATCTTTCTTTGTCTCTCAGCCTCCACTCCCCTGCGCTGGCATCAGAGGGTTTATTTTGGGGCACGGCAGCACCAGCAGGAAGACAGAACCCTCTGAGGAACAGCCAGTGTCACCTCCTGCCTTCATGAAAATGATGATCTCAGGTGGAGGACATTCTTGCCTTGAATCATGGTTTTTTTCATCCCCCAGTGAGTTTGCCACAAGAGGTTTTTTGCTTATATTCAGAGCGTGAGTTTGTGACTCAGTTTCCACACACCCCCCTCTAGCAAGAGCTGAAGGAAACTTGACCACAGGGACTTTAGAATCTGGCTGTAAATAATCACCATTAAAACACAAACAAACCAAAATAAAAGCAGACAAAACCCAACCCTCTTGCCTAGTGACTTAACACCAAGAGACCTGCAAGGCAGAGCATGACATTTTAAAACACAAACAAACCAAAATAAAAGCAGACAAAACCCAACCCTCTTGCCTAGTGACTTAACACCAAGAGACCTGCAAGGTACAGCACGACATCCGCTTCACTTCAGGTAGTGCTGCAGCTGCTGGGTGGGTTCAGATGCCACCAACAGGGGCAGGACACCTCTGAAGTCTTTAAAAGAGTGTCTTGGGGTGGCTGAAGTGAGGTTATCAGTGCTCCTAAGGTTGCAGAGGGGAAGCCTGGGAGAGGAGAGCCCCATCCAGCCCCACAGACCCACAGAAAGAAGGGGAATACAGAGGCTACAAGGCAGGAGCTCTCAGGGAGAAGCTGATTTCAGTAGCCTGGCTGGAAATTCACTGGGAAAACAGCCCCAGCAGCCACCTCCAGAGCATTGGCCCTCGGTCTGTTTGGCACTGAGGGTCCCAGGGTCCTGCTCCACCATGGGCTGTTCTCTGGGTCTGAATTGGGGCAAAACCACACAGATTTGGGCACAGTATGTCACGAGGTCGCTCTTAATGCTTTGTGATGTATTTCCTTAAGGAGACAACGGGCCCTAAACCCCAAACCCCGAGTTGGATTTGACACATGGATGAACTCCACAGCTCTGTTTGCCACCAAGAAGAGCTTCTGGCCCCACTGCTGGCTGCAGCCCCACAGGCATTGGGGGGTGGGGACACGTGCCATGCCAGGGCTGGGTGTGAGGGGTGGTGCCCCACGTGTGAGAGGGGCTGAAAGCCAGGCCAGGTGTGCCCCTGGAGCAGGGTGAGGGTTGTGGGTTATCCATGAGGCAGGGGACTGAGTGAAGTGCCCAGAATTGGGGTTTGGCATGTGGGCAATTCCCTTCTCTGCAGGGATGTTGTGAGGAATTCGTCTCTCTGCAGAGACCTTGTGAGAGAGGTAAGTGAGGGTGTGAGGAGAAGCCTTCAGCTGTTTTGGGAAAGGCCAGAGGAGCACCAGAACATTTCCATTGGCCAATGGTGGACCAAAGCCAATGGGGTGATCAGCAGCAGGTGTCCTGCTTGTTCAGAGAACTAATTTAAATCAGGCCCT